TTTTTTAAAGACGTTATTCCTGCACTAGGGTTATTCCCTTCATTGTTAAGGCGTTTTACATAGATACGATGATCATACTCAAATATGTGTATCGTATGCCTTATTTAAAGTCTACCCCTTAGAATTATTTACGTGAAGTTATTTAAGCTCTAATGTACGACTTCTAATGCAAAAAACAGCATTCTAATTCCACGTAATCGCAGCCTCGCCGCTCCTTAGCAATATGATCAGTTCAATAAACCTAATTATGATAGTGCGTGTACAATTTCACGGTACACTTCGTCTATTGTCCACTCGCCTAAATATGTAACGTATTAAAAGGTCAGTGGACTCATAAATGCCATCGATTTTGAAATTAAACTACATAGTGTAGAATTTAATAATATCCATAATGTTAACACGCGCCATAAATTATTTTTGGAATAAGATCTCATGTTGTACGAATATACCCAATTGATTTGCTTTTGCGAAATTTTAAAAACGCATGTACCTATCGAGCGTGCTTATAAAGAAAGGATATTTAAATTAGATGACTATTTAAAAATAAGAATGCTATGACGTAATGAGCTTCGTTAGATTTTTTTCTTATATACTCGTACATATTTCATAAGGTTAAATTGTTTCTGTTGGGAGCAAAACAGTGTACTTTTGAGTTTCCGCTTCTTTTCACAAGGTCTCCCGCAGTAGGAACATTTTGAAGTACCTACGTAGCTTTTTCCTATGGCTATGAATGATTATGACAATACTTTATTTTTCTCTTAATCGTAAATTTTTTGGACATCGTACATTTTTATAATCAACACTTTGACCTAAAGAAGGTAAAATTTTAAATTATACGTACCTAGTATACTACCTAGTATGGCTTTTAAAAAATAAATATCTACAGCGGGGGAGACCCATGCCTAGTAGACTTTTACAGGTCTGTAAACACGAAATACATGAATAGTACAATTTTATTTAATTATTGACCGTGTAGTGGCAGTGTACGAATATCCACTACCCCATATCATCCCGCGGGTGTCGTGAGAGGCGACGCATGGAAACAATCAGAAGATATGAAGCAGCCTCTATTTAATAGCAAGTGAAAATAAAAAAAACTGCGTTTTTTTTAACAGGATAAGAGTGACAAGCGAGCACACAGTCCCCATGATGGTAAGTGGATGCTAACTCTCTTATATGAGGAAGGCCTATGTTCAGCCGTGGACTTTAGGTTTGTAACAGTTAGGATAGGAATTTCAGACTGTTTCCCATTATGACGTTTACATTTAATGAAACACCGTTATTTAATTAATTGGGAATTGCGAAAGCTTGCACTTATACCAATTATTTATGTCTTCCTAATTTATAAAATGTCTTTATAACTAACGTTATAAAACTTTCCAAAAATCACTTCCTTCGTTTACCATAAGTACATAGTTCGTTCTATTTCTTATTATTGTTTACGTCTTAAAAGTACACTTTATCATTGTAAATAAAAAATCTAAATCTGTTCAAAACCACTAACTAATGCCCCGGTTTCTGGGTTAGATCTATTATTATTATTTAATTTATCATTTATTTTTTGAAAATATCCAAGTTATTCAGATAAAATAGCCTAGAGCCCATGACATCGATACATTTATTTGTTCGTAAAAAAAGCTTTTCTATTCCCTTGAAAAATATTTTTCGTCTTGGTCTGTAAAATGCTCATTAACAGCGGACTTGAGGTCAGTGTCGTCAGGAAACCGCTTTCCCTAAAGGTCTTTTTTAAGTTTGGGAATGAAAAGCAGTCACTACGGGCTAGATCTGGACTGTATAGTGAGTGTTTAATTTCCTCAAGCCCGCAGTGTCCATACAATGGGCTTGAAGCAATCGCGCCGTGTGAATCGGTGCGTTGTCATAAACAGCAATCACTTGATCAGCATTGGTCTTCCCTTTTCTCTTATTGCTTCTCTCAAACGGCGTAAAGTAGCTAAGTATTTGTCTGCGTTGATGGTTTCATTTTTTTTTTGTGTACGCGATCATTATTATTCCTTCGAAATCCCAAAACACTACGGCAATAATTTTACCGGCCATCTACTATAACTATCCTATCAAAAACACAGAGCTTGAGTCGCCACCACACAGCTTTAAATACTCCCTACAACAGTCAGCCCGAGCCTGTTTTTAAACCGCAGTGAGCATTCGCGGCACCCATCTTGCACTGACTTGTGAGGTTAAGATAGTCATTCAATATGGTGTGTATGGTACCAACGGATAGGTAAATGATTTCTGCAAACATTTTAATTCTTACTCGTGCATCTTTTGATACAAGTTTTTCAATAATTTTCACATTTTTTCTGTAGCTGCTGTGATTAGCCCATCCGGGCGGGGTCATCTTCAATACTGTCCCTGCCTGTTTTGAATTAACTTGACCACATCTGTAAGGTTGACATTGAAGGACCAGTGTCTTGGTAAATGGCCATCATTTCTTCATGGACGTTTTTTGAGTTTTCCCATCGCACGGAGTTCGATATTTTTTAACATCGTCGCGTCAGTCATTCCCGTTGCTGTGACTGAAGGTTATATGAGAAGTAATGAAATTATAAAAACTAATTTTCATATTTATACCCTCAGGTAGTGCCGTTAGCTATGTTATATAATTACCCACATTAACATATATTATGTGGGTATGTATAGTTTAGTTACTGTACATATACATTATTACATTTTCTAGTACCACTAGAAATTAAAAGACCTTATAAAACAGAAATTCTTAGCAAATATAAAATTGTAAATTTGATTTACTTATGCTGTTCTTGTCTTTGATTCCCTTTTTTGGATTTACTCCACGTTTATTGATGCCGAGCAAAGCTGTCGGTAACCGTTTGAGTTATAGTTGATTAAGCGATTTAACGGAGGTTGGTTGATTTATGTGAAAATGTACTTGAATTTATATGCTTTAAAATAACCGACGCTTCTAGGACAACCAACATACTAAGATGTCATTAACTTTTTTTTCAAATACTAGGAATACTATTAACAATACTAACACTAAACTTTAACCACATCTGATAAGATTAAAATGATTGCGTTAGGAGTGGTTCATGAATCATGACGGAAGTCGAATGGCAGATTCGAACCCACGATATTTTGAGATGACGGTCTGCACTCTGCTATTATGCTACTGTCGCTTCATCAAATCAAATCAATTAAAAAAATATAAATATTTGAGTTGACGAAATACTTTTTTAATTAAAAACTTTTGAATGAGATAGCTAGTGCCATGTAGTGGCAGTGGAACAATATCCACTATCCCAGATGGTCCCGTGGGTGTCGTAAGAAAAGACAGACGGAGACTGACACAAGTGATGGGCAGCAGGCAATAATAAGCGTGGCAACTATGGCAAGCTCCGCACTATGAGACACTGTGGGGTAGGCCTGTGTTCAGCAGTGAATTTTTGTAGGCTGGAATGGTAATGGAATGACCATATAATGAATAAGAATAGACTAGATATAAAATGTATATAAAGACAAGCTTTTATAAGTGTTGCCAATGCCAACATCCTGCTTTGTCATCAGATCAGCTCTATGATATTACGGACATACCTCGTTGGTCTAGTGGTCGTAAACGCTGTTACTGATCAGGTTGGGCCAAAATCAGTTATTGGGTATTTCTAACAAGAAATTCTCAGTAGCAATCCGGAGTCCTGACTCCGGTCTGCTACTAAGAATTTCGAGAAGTCTGACTGAGGTACAGGGTGTAACACCGCCAACATCCTGATGTCCTGATGTTTCAGCCCTGTACCTCGGAAAGCACGTAAATCAAAAAGCAAGTCTATCCAGTCGTGTCGGAGTATCGTCCTGTCGGACTATGAGAGTGAGGAAATAGAGAGAGCACCTATGCTTGCGTCTACACTCGAGCACTGTAATCCTATCCTACGTAGATGACTAGCCTCCGTTCAAACTGGCCGACGTGACCGAAATTCGGTCTGGAGGACAGATACAATCAATACAGAAAAGTTTGATATTTTTTCACTACCTTCTTCATTTTTTATACAATTGAAGCGACTAATGAAGTACAGTATACCTAAAGGTAAGTGGCTGCTGGAGCCCATCCACATCTGCAGCCAACTTTAAATAACATTGACTACAGCGTTGTCACCTCTGAGGACTAAGATAGAATGCCTCCCATCCTGTAATTGTACAGGATATAAATAATCACCAATTGGGATTGCACCTAGTGCTGTATATCGGTTTGGAGTGAATACGAGCTGGTACCTATAATAACAGGTTAGAAGGCATTTCATATAAGTCCTCAGAGGTGACAACACATCAGTGGTGTTGCAGGTGTCCAAGAGCTGCAGTGGCTTCTTAATATCGGGTGGGCTTTTAGTTTATTTCAGCATTGCCTGTGAAAAAATTAGAAGATGAGCATATAAACGATGGTTATAACCACAGAAATCGTAATAATAAGACAATTTACCAATGAAATTTTATGCCTTTATTAGTTGAATTACACGTCCTTGATGAGTTTTTACTATTATGCTGCAGTTCACCATTATAATAATATAAACTCATGTACGACGTTCCCAGCGCAACTAAATCACAAAATGGTGAATTATGTTCGTCAACACATAATAGCGGCGACAAGGTCACGCGTCTATGCGATCTATATTGTTTTATTATTACGATTATGGTTATGTCACTGTCTATCAAGAGCCATAAAATATTTTGTAGCATTTCAATAGTCGCCTCTTACTATTCTCCCGGGACAAAATGGGATGTGGATTTGAGAGCTTCTTGCTGCTTTTTCTCACAAGGTCTTCCTAACCGCAGTAGAGATTTGTTGAAGCGATGGCGTAGTTTCACTTTCAAAAAGAGTTTGTAAGCCAATTTTATAAGAAAACTATTTGACTTTGACTTTGATGAAACTTTTTAGGCCGTCACAACACTCTTACTTTAAAAAAATTGTTGTAATTAAAGTCTTATTTCTTGTATTGTGTAGTAATTGTGAAGAAATTTAAATTTTTCATGTCCAGGCACAACGTATCTGACGGGGGAGAATTTTCTGGACGTCCTGGACAATGGCGCGGAGCTGTGCCAGTTGGCGGCCGTCATTCACGATCGAGCCAGAGAGGCACTTGACCAGGGACTTATTGTTGGAGTGAGTATTATTGACTGAATTTTGTCTAAAACAATCAGTACTTAATACTTTATGACGCGTAGTTTAGTAGTTAGAGTGCCTCGTTACCGAGTCGTAAGCCGAACCAATGTATAAAATAAATAATTTACTGGTTTGCAGCGGCTTAAGTGAATATATTACTCTATTATTTCTAGTTGTCAGCTGGTGACGTAAGATTCAACTATGATATACAAGACCCTGTCTACGCTAGACGTAAAATAACTAGACTGGTGACAAAGTTTATTTCTACCTGCGAAGCGTGACTATTATGCAAAATCAACAACTGAAGAGGCACATATTACGATGTATTAGTGAACTTTTACAGGTTGATTATGGGGAAGAAGAAAACGATGAACAAATGAGAAATGTGTAAATTCTTTTTTTAAATATAAGAGGGGGCAAACGAACACCTGATGGTGACTACCGCCGCCCACGAATAACTGCAACACCAGCGAAATTGCGGATGTGTTGCCGGCTTTTTATAAAATAGTGAACAGCACCTTTCAGCACTGTTCAGCACCAATGGTCACTGCAGACTGAGGTGACCCCTGTGATTATGGGTGCTGGAAAGCACCAGAAACGTCAGGAATAAAAATCAAATAAATTAAGCGCGGTAGTTATAATCAAAGATAATATAACCTATAGCTATACATACATACATACATACATATAATATAAATAAAATTGAAGTGTCTATCTATAATATCGAAATAACTGCCTTTTTTCGAGCTCGCGAGATTATTCGCGTGCCATTATGAGACATGAATAGCCATTAGGAACATTTTTGCCTTAGTCTGTCAGTCCGGGCAACCGATTCAAACAAAACTTCACGAGCAGGCAGAGAAAAATGCCAGGAGTGATCTAGTTCATCTTATCAAACATACATACAAATATATCAGAAAAATTTGAGTGCTCTTATGATATTTGAAAATTTGTTCAATTTAATTTATTCAATATTAGCCGTGCCTGCGAGTTCGTTTGCGTTGAATCAGTAATTTTGTTATTCTAAGTGATGATGATTTATTTGTAAAGTAAACTGTCGCAAAGACTTAGAAATACACTCTGAACTGACTACTCTGATAAAGACATTCAGTTAGTCGGTTAATCAGACAAACAAACGAACTAACAAATAAACGAACCCACAAACGAATAGGGTAAACTGTACGCTTGTGTTTTATTTTATAATAAAAACATAATGACCGCAAGTAATCCCTAATTTGTCTCCCGATTTCTCTAGCCAATATTTGGTTTCCATACAACAATTAAGAGATTGCCCTAAATAAGCAAGCACAACCACCAATTATTGATATTAAATAATAAAATTGCATTGAAATCTACAATCCAATGCCTACCTTAAACTAAATACCTACACTTAAAAATATGAAATTGCGTAAGTGTCTATATTTTGTCTCATCCTGCAAACAAATGAAAAATAAAACTAAACTCAACCTAGGAAAGTTTTTTGACCTTTATGTAATAGATGTGATCTAACTTAAATCAGTTGGGTTTTCTGTCAAAAAATTCTCACGAGGGGAGTCAAGAGTTTTGCAATGTTTCATCCCTATGCCTCAGAAAGCACGTAAAGACGTTTTATCTGGATCTGATCTCACTATATATTTGTCGGATAACTAACCCGGACACAATGATACATAAGCACTTTTTAATATTTTGTGTATAATGCTCAATAACGGCAGATTTTTGTAGTTATATAATACTTAGGTATTTCTATATTTTAAAGCGAAAATATGCTTCACAATTTTTGTAGTTATATAATAGGTATTACTATATTTTAAAGCGAAAATATGCTTCACAATTTTCCTGAAGATTATTTTGATATAAATCAGTAATTTATACATGATACGTTAACAAACAGACAGACAGACAGACAGAGAATTCTAAAAGTGATAGAAATATATTCAATTACTTATTTTTAGTCTCTCTCCATCAATTTTCTTACAAAAATATAAAATGTAATACAAACATTTGTAATTTACATTTTTATTATATGTATATAATAGATTACAAAGATTCAAGAATTTCTAAACCTTCACAAGCAAACTATAAGTGTACAAAGAATTACGTCTAAAAGTGTCGTAGATTCCAGTGCATAATTAGCTGCTCGATGCTTCAGTATTAGTACTGCTGTATCGGAACCATAAATAGAGTCTAGCTTGCGCGTCTCCACCTGGAAAACCGCCAGTATTCCGTTTGCGTCCCTTCATTTAGTTTCGTTTTGTCCGCTTTGTCAGCCCACTGACAGGATACTTTATGCTCCACTAAACTACTTTGAACGTGCACGTAATTATCTGTAAGAATTACAATTTCGGTCACTAGTTCCTTATGTTTCTTTCAAACTACGACATAATGTTTTCTTCAAGCTTCATCACTAATTTTTAAAGTTTTCTTAAATCATTATTTAAAGTTTAAAAACTAATCTACAGAAAAATTTCAATTAAAATATGATATTCAAAACCTATATATGTAGCTCTGGCATAGAATTTTTATAATAGGGATATTATGCATGCACACTTGCCTAGGGTAGAGATAACGATATGCATGAAAAATACGTTATGATCTATGATGTTATTAAACTTGTTTTTTATACGCCTTTGATTATAAATTGTAATACATTTAAAAATGATATGTTAGACTTATATTATAGAAGACGTTTTGCTATTTTATATTTTTAAAAGCTTTAAAGAGCTATTATAATATCAAGGAATTTATAGATGATAATAACCCCTGGGAATGCGGTGATCACTAACAAATTCTTTCTAATTAGTTTTATGTAGTTAATTATATACTGTAATAAGATAGTAAACCGTTTTTTTATTTTTTTTTTTAAATTTTGTACCCGCTTAGTTTTTTTTGCTGTTCTATTCTGATCTTACTGGTCTTAAAATACTGCATGGTCATTATTTAATAGTGTAATAAAATTTGCATAGTTATTATTAAACGTTTTTATAACATAATTAAATTTCTGACTTGCTTATTTTTTATGTTGCATTCGCATTTGATAGTTGTTTTTAGGTATATATTTTAATTGATTTGCAAAAAAATATTGTACAACGTATGCACAAACGGTAATAAATATAGATTTTTTTGTATTCAATATAGATTATAAATATATATAATATTTATGGAACGTGTGTTGCCGGCCCTTTAGAAAGGAGTAAGCTCTTTTCTTGAAGGTCCCCAGGTCGTATCGGTCTGGAAAAATCGCCGGTGGTAAACTATTCCACAGAGAGGTCGTACGCGGAAGAAAACTCCTTTTGAAACGTACAGTGGTGGACCGCCAAGCATCCAGATGGTGTGGATGGTATCGGGACGTTTGACGTGTAGTGCGTTCACGAAATTTGGCGGCTGGGATTAATCCGAACAATTCCTCAGAGCACTCCCCATGATATATGCGAAAGAAAATGCAAAGAGATGCAACATCTCTTCGCAGCGCCAGTGATTCGAGCCGATCGGAAAGCACTCGGTCGTCGACGATTCGAGCCGCTGTGCGCTGGATGCGATCAAGTGGAAGGAGCTGGTACTCGGGAGCCCCAGCCCAGAGATGGTAACAGTATTCCATGTGCGGCCGGACCTGCGCCTTGTAAAGTTGCAGGCGGTGTGCCGGCATGAAATACTGTCCCGCTCCGCTGAGCACTCCAAGGTTTTTAGAGGCCAATTTGGCCTTCTCTTCCAAGTGACCATGAAACTGCACGTCACTCGATATGTCGACGCCGAGGATTCCGATACTGGCTGAGGCAACAAGGGGAGTGCCTTGAAACTGAGGAGATACGACAAAGGGGTTCTTTTTTGCGGTTAACGCGCAAACTTGTGTCTTCTGGGGGTTAAACTGGACTAGATTTAGTCGCCCCCAATCCGAGACTCTGATCAGCAGAGACTCGACTTCAGACACAAGTTTGTCCCGGTTCTCGGAGACGGTTTCCCGAGAAATATTGGCACGGCCGGTGTACAGAGCATCACCAGTGCTGTCATCTGCATAGCAATGAATGTTACGGGTTTGCAACATATCATTGATATGCAGAAGAAACAGCGTTGGCGATAGCACGCAGCCTTGTGGAACACCAGCATTAATAGGCTTGTAATCGGAGCTTGCACCGTCTACAACGATCTTGATGCTCCGATCTGCAAGAAAGCTGGTGATCCAATCGCACAATTTCTCGGGAAGCCCATTGGAAGGGAGCTTCGAAAGAAGCGCTTTGTGCCAAACCCGATCGAAGGCCTTCGCAATGTCCAAACTAACGGCCAATGCCTTCCCCTTGAACTCTACTGCCTCCGCTCATCTGTGAGTTAGGTAGACCAGAAGATCACCAGCTGACCGACCACGGCGAAAACTGTATTGGCGATCACTAATCAGCTGGTGATCCTCAAGGTATCTCATGAGCTGGCAGTTAACAAAGACTTGTTTTGGAGAACAAGGAGGTGATTGCGATAGGCCGGTAGTTGGACGGGTCTGAGCCGTCGCTTTTTTTAGGGTTCGGGAGGACGAAAGCCGTCTTTCATGATTTTGGGACTACGCCTAGGCAGTAGGAGTACCGAAAAAGACGCGTTAAAACCGGTGCCAACTCTGGAGCACACGTCCTCAGCACAATTAAGGGGATTCCGTCAGGCCCACTCGACTTGTGGATGCCCAGGGAGAGGAGTGCTTTGCGAACCGAGCGCTGTGGGAACTGCACTTCCGGCATGGAGTACTCACACCGCGGGATGGTCGGCGGCGTACTCCCCCCGTCATCGAGAGTCGAGTTGGACGCAAAGAAAGAGCCTAGCAGATCAGCTTTCTCCTTTGCGGTATGGGCCAGTGAGTCGTCCTCCCTGTGCAGAGATGGAAGAGATGGCTGACAGAAATTCCCCTGGACAGCCTTGGCGAGAGACCAGAACGCACGGGGTCCAGAAGGAAGGCGAACTAGTTTCTCGCCAATTCTGCCTATGTGCTCTGACTTTGCCTTGGCAATGACTCTTTTGAAGGATCTAGAGGCGGAATTATACTTCTTTTTTTAGAGCGCTGGTGTTTACATCCCGGGACGCTGATGCGTCAGCCCAGGCTTGGTAGCACTCCTGCTTATAGCATGATGCTATTTTACAGGAGCGACCAAACCATGGCTGAGACTTGCCTCCAATGGGCACCACAGAGGAAGGAATAAAAAGTTCCATACCCTGAAGTACCACATCAGCGACAGAGTCCGCAACAACGTTGGGATCGTCCGGCGAGAAGCAAACCCGCCCCCAAGGGTAGGATGCAAAGAAAGACCGCATCCCATCCCAATCGGCAGACCTATAGTGCCAAACACGGCGGCAGCCTGCAGAATGCAACTGCGATTTCTGCGTGAGTGGCACCACACTCCGGACAAGACAATGGTCCGAGGAGCCTAAAGGGGCGTCGACGGAAATCTGATATCCGTCCGGGTGAGAGGTCAGCAGAAGGTCCAACATGGAAGGTGCATGATCCTCCACATTTGGAATCCGCGTAGGCGAGGCGGGCAGGCATTTGGACGTGGTCAAAGAGTCGGTCTGTTTCGTCATTACCGCTATGGGACCTATAGAGGCACCCGTAGACGCGCGGATGGTCGTCGCTGTCTACGCGTAGCGAAAGGATGTACAGGTCTGAACTTTCAAGACTGCCAAGGCGTCGAGAACAGATGTCCTCTCTGACGTAAACGCAAACTCCAGCCCGAGGCACAAAGGAGTGTTCCAGTTTGTATCCCGGGTAGGAGAGATACCAGACATCAGCCGCAGAGGACACCTGCGTCTCGGTCGGAAAGAGCAGAGCCGGCCTCGTCATCTCGAGATGGTAGTGGTAGTTTTATAAAAGAATTTTATTTCACTAAAAAACAATTTCTTAGAAGACATTTGAAGTTCACCAACACGCATTAGGGCTGCGCAGCGGACACTTTCTTGCCCTAAAAGCCTCTCAGAAATAAGATTAAGCCCGTGCCCAGCAATGGGACGCTTATAGGCTGTCACTTTAACTTTTTAACTTTATAAAAGAATACCTATATAAAATAACTAAACACCCCACTTGTTTGCAGCCGGTGCCGCAGATCCGCGGGCGGTGCTGGCAACGTGCGGCGCGAAGAAGCTTCTTCTCGCGGGACAACACCGAGAACTTCCTCACCTTCTGCCGCGAGCTCGGCGTGCACGAGAACCTGCTCTTTGAAAGTGACGACCTAGGTACTGCATTCTTCTCTTATTTTCCTTACTTACTTCATTCCTTTAGCGACGGTGTAAGAATATCCAGCACCATATTTTGTCCTATGGGTGTCATAAGAGGCAGCAGAGGGAAACTGTAACAAGTTTTTTTGAAATATAAAACTAGCGACCCGCCCCGGCTTCGCGCGCGTGATTTCTGGATCTCGACAACAGCGCCATCTACCGGGTCCAAATCTGAATCTAAAACACCCACTCAAACACACACAAATATTTTCATCAGAATCGGTCGAGCCAGTTGTTTTAACGAGACTGGCGGACAACAATTGATTTTTATATAGATATAAGGGTGACAAACGAGCACACAGTCCACCTGATAGTAAATGGATACTGTGGCCCACATATATATCTAGACTTGTCGATTAAGAATCAAAATGGTGATGCGTTGTCACCCGTGAGGATTAAGACGGAATACTTTAATGAAATAGCTTTATTTTGCATTTAGGTAAATATCTCATACGCTTAAAATTCTGTAGCATTAAATACATTCTAACACGAGGTAGAGACATGCTGCAGCTATATCATGGTTGTAGCACGAATGGGTCGGCTCAACCGGAGAAGGACTACGCTTGTGTTTCGTGTGGTAAACGTAGAGAACCTGAGACTGTGTGAAATTAACCGTATTTCTTTTCGAACTCAAAAATTAAAAAAATCGAATATAACAAATATATATAAATATATACCTAAATATATAACTATATTCCCCGTTAATTTCTCTTTACAGTTCTCCATAACCAGCCTCGTCAGGTAATCCTGTGCCTTCTAGAAGTAGCCCGCCTCGCTACAAAGTTTAATGTGGAGCCTCCAGGGCTGGTACAGCTGGAGAAGGAGATCGCTATGGAGGAGCGTGACTCGGGACTCGACTCCGCGATGTCCGGCACCGCGTGGCAGTTCAGGGACGTGTCACCGGCTCCTGATAATGATAAGTTAGTACCGGTGCTCTGTTATTAGTCATTTTAATAATTTCGTATATTTGTAATGGACCAAGTGATTAAACAAGGCGCTATTTATAATGCCCAGGCAATATGAACAATGACAATTCAATTCGGGCACCGTAATTAATACTGATTTTTACTTCATTATTTATAATATTGTCTGGTCATAACACGACCTAACCTGACCAAACCTTTTTATTACTGTGCTCAATAAGTAACAGACTTTATTACCTATACCTTTTTGCTTTTCAATCAATACGAGTAAATGCTTTAAAGAATCGACAAACGAACAGTGGATTCGATTAATTAATGCCCCGCGCTTTTAAAAAAAGGGGCAGTTTTATTAACAGTTTTATGAATGAGATATTGTAATTTATTAGTAAATATATTTTGTTTTTAAAATTAAAAAAAAAGGTTTTCAGAGATTGTCCCTTTAACCTGAAACCGTAATATGTGCTGTAACGCAATCGCAACCGAGTAAGTTTATTAAACGATAAATTATGTAGAATTTATTTTATTAAATTTTGTCTAAATACTCTAATCGTATTGGCAATTTACATACATACATTCTAAAAAAAATAGACAAACAGTAAAATGATAGAAAAATATAATGAGATTTAACCAAAAATATAATTATTACTAACGTAACAAATAATGTCCTCTATATCGAATTTCATGTAACGTGATAAACAATTCACTTTCTTGTTACCTTTCACGCTGCATAGTAAGGACAGCACCAGCAACAACACTTTGAAAACCAAAACCGAAGAAAAGTAAGTTGATACCATGATACTGAAGCACATCATGTAGATTGTTTTTACGCAATTATACGCAAAAGAGATGCACCTCTGGTGCGCAGGGTTAGGGTCAGCCCCAAAGCATTCTTAAAATGATAAGGATATTAAGAGTGGTCTCTATCTGAAACAATGTTGTAAAATGCATTGCTCACCAGTAAATTGACTGCTGGATATATGTAGGCATTAAATTAAATTAAAGTACGGAAGAGAATTAAATACAAACATAAACACTCACGTCTGTCACCCAGAGGGGTAGGCAGAGACTACAGACTTCCATTTAGCACGATCCTGACATACCTTTCTCGCCTCCTCCACATCCATATACCTACGCATACATGCTCGTCGGTTAAGGGTACTCTTAATTTGGCCCATTTTTAGTTTATCGCCAATTTGGTCGACAAACTTCCGCCTAGGACGTCCCTTTCCGACTCTTCCATTCACTTCTGCAACATATATTTGCTTTGTCAGTTTTCCGCATTCATTCTTTCTACATGACCAAACCACCGAAGCATTCCTTTCTTAATCCTGGCCACCGCATCATCTTGCAAACCACACTCTTCCTGAAGAGAAGAGAAGAGTGAATAGAATTAAATAATAATAAAAAATACATTTAACTTCCATATATTTTTAAGATAAAGTAAAATTTACAGCCTATAATCCCATTGTTAGGCACAGGCCTCCCCTCATTTCTGAGCGGGTTTTAGGGCAAGGAAATATCCGCCGCGCTGCCCCAATGCGTGTTGTCGAACTTCACGTCTTCGAAATATTTTTTTATTATTTCTCAGACATGCAGGTTTTCTCTAGATGTTTTGCTTCACCGCCGAGCATGTGCACAATCAGCACTTAAAATTGCAATTAATAAATTTATTGGAGTCGGCGTGGATCAAACCCAAGTTTATTCACGTAATATGAAATTTAAAGACAAGTAAGTACAGCAGTTAGGTACTTAATATTAGTGTGTAATAATAGTAAAAACCTCATGACCATAACATAATATACTGTTATGGATATGAGTACCTAATTATCCCCCTATATACCCATTTGTCTTTGAGAGTGGTTAAAATTTTATCAAAAGAATTCTTCGTTTAACTCAAAAATGTCTTTCCAGATCCACATCAGAACCCTCACCGTTATCCCCGGAACCCAATGATTGTAAGTATCTAAACATTTATTTACCGGTTCTTGTTCATTAACCTACATGTACTTCCCTCGTTTGAAGGAAGATTTGTCTTAACCGTCACGCTTAGCAGGTGAAGTAATAATCGCAGTGCCCGACGTAATTACTGTTGCGTGCCATAATTAATGCCTGGTACGTGGCGAACTACCACTAGCGCCATCTAGTATCGAGTAGAAAAACTAGGAGAGCTTTCTTGAAAATTCCATACTAGTAGAACTTTCTACACCTAGTCAGTCGGAACTGGTATGTACTCGAACATTCAAGATGTTTCAGTAGAAGAAGCCCTATATAAGGCCTTTATAAAGGTTTTCTTCCTCGCAAGACTTCTTTGTGGATTCGTCTACCACCGGTGTTTTTTTTCAGACTAATAGAACTTAGAGACATTCAACAAACGAGCTCATTAGTTTTAATAAGCCCCACAACTCACCTACAATTCCTCCGGAGTTGCAGTGGTTCATGCACAGTAGCCGACACTTACCATCAGCTGAGCCGCATGCTCATTTTCCCCCTTTTCTATAAAAAAGTAAAAATGAAATCATATGATTTCCTAGCATTTCCCCTAGTTGACTTTTACGACACCCACGAAATGGGGTGAATTTACCTTAATAAATGGGAATTAAATACATTTAAATTTAAGACTAACTTCCAGCTAAGGGGAAATAGTAAAAATAATACCTCAAACCTCCGTTACGCCGAAAATATTGCAGCATTAATGTTGAAATAAATATATGGTAAAGTTGAGGATTAATGTTAGACGAAAACACGATTCCGTGAAATTCTCTCGATAGAAAAAAAATCCAAAGTTAACTTTAAACTGAACAACAAACCGCTGGTATTCATAAAATACTTTAAATTACCTATAAAGCAGGGCTTATGTTTTTTTTATTATTTTAAATTACCATGTATGTCACTGTACCAGTCAGTCGTGTGCGCGCGCGCTTGGCGTACGGCTGTTGTATCGTAGATCCACTTAAGTCAAATACGTAATTGTGCATAAATATCTAAAAGACGGTGTCTTTCCAATATCGCATCATCATCATCATCATCATCATTACAGCCCTTCACAAGTCCACTGCTGAACATAGGCCTCCCCCAAGTAATGCCACAAAGCACGGTCCTGAGCCACCTGCATCCATCGACTTCCTGCATATCTTACCAGGTCGTCACTCCATGTAGTGGGGGGTCGCCCTACACTACGCCTACCGATACGAGGCTGCCACTCGAGAACCTTTCTTCCCCATCGGTTATCGGTTCTTCGAGCTATATGGCCGGCCCATTGCCACTTCAGCTTACTAATCCGTTGGGCTATGTCGGTCACTCTGGTTTTACTGCGGATATCCTCATTTCTGAGTCTATCACGCAGAGAAACTCCGAGCATAGCCCTCTCCATAGCTCGCTGAGCGACCTTGAGCGTCCTCATACGGCCAGCAGTGAAGGACCACGTCTCTGATCCGTATGTCATCACTGGCAACACGCACTGGTTGTACAATTTAGTTTTTAGAGATTGAGGTATACCTGACAAATCTCATCATCTGTCGTTTTGTGGACTCAAATCTGATCAAATAGGCCAAATGTTAGTAATTCTTAATAATAGCAGTAGTTTTTTTTTATAATAGGCTAAATTTTAGTAAATAGTTCTTAATAATAGTTTAATACCGGTTTAAAAAAAATTAAAACTTGCTTTATTTACACTTTTATTTTCATTAGTTTATAGTTACGTATTTGAACCAAATGTATTAAGACAAGCGCTAATCCCGCCGACAAACTGTTACGCAGTTTGGTGGGTGTGAACAATGTATAATAAAAGGTTTGGTCCAGAATAAATGATTTATTATTATTATTATTATTTTCACTGTACAAAGAAATTATCGGCACTCATAATTATCGAATGGGAAAGCTGTGTCGCTTACGATCAGAATACACATTACGCAATAGGACGACGTAAAATTAAAATTGGAATAAAAATGAGAAGCGACTGGGTTGGCGTAAAGAAATAGGCATACATATGATAAACCTAATGAAATAAGTATCTAACGACCTATCTACTTACAGTATTAGTGATTACAAACATGTCGGTACATAGCATACGACGCGCGGGGAAGTGGGGACGAAATTAGAATTTGAGCTGACTTAAATTTTAACGAAATTAATTAAATTTTAATTAGGTAAATTAATGAAATTTAAATTATATTAATAAAAATTGTACTTTCACAGCACACCTAGTTCCAGATAACACAGACGCAGAAAGTACAAAATCAGAAGGTACGGTCAGCAGCACAGATTCTGATGTTCCGCTCAAACCTACCAACGAGTTGGATAAGAGAGTAAGTCGTATTGAAGTTTTTACTTCATTTGCTTAATTAAATACTTTCAAAGGCATTTTAACCGACTTCAAGAAGGAGGAGGTATTCTATTCGACTGTATGTTTTTTTTCTGTGAACCGATTTTGATGATTCTTTTTTTATCAGAAAGCTGGTATTTCTCGTGTAGTCCTTATAAATTTGATCAATATCTGACCAGTAGTTGTGAGTTATCTTTAATAATGCGTATTTAATTAACTTCGAATAAATTGATGATATTATCATTTTATTTATATTAAAGTCGGATGTACAAAACTTTTAATTTGCATTACCACTTACCATCACGTGGGATAGTAGCGAAGTACCAGCTTAGAATAGTTAAAAGAAAAAAAAAGAAAAATATGCGGATTGGCTAGGATCTACCGGACACAGGTGGAAGTATGTCAGTGGAATAGAATATCCAACATGTACATACGTGACAGAGCCACGCTGCGGCTATATTATGAGTTCCTTTTTACGGGAAACGAGGCATTCCATCTTAGTCGTCAATGGTGACAACGCACCTACTTTTTGATTCTTAATTGAAGATAAAAAGTGTACTTGTTTGTCAACCTTATTATATATAAAAATATCTTTCATCGCATTTTCATGTAATACTTATACTGTGCGGGATTCGAACTCGTTGTCAGGTAAGACATGCAAGACATGGATTCTGGTGGTCCATGACCGTGTTATGTGGCATTCATTGGAGGAGGCCTACGTTTAGCAGTGAACTTGTGAAGAACTGTAATGACTATGATGATAATTGGCAGGTGCAGCTAGTGACACGGCTGATGGAGCGCGGCTGCAGTTGCACTTCGGGGCGCTGCTCCCGCCTGCTAAAGGTGAAGAAGGTGGGCGAGGGCCGATACAACATCGCCGGCAGGAATGTCTTCATCAGGGTTAGTACTTTGAACCTCATAAACCTTTACTTTTTCTAAAGGTAACGTTACACTTAGATTTTCTCCTGTGTCATAGAGGCAGTTTACATACATAAATTTTACACTAACAAACATCCAGACCCAGAAAAATTACTTGTAGGCCATAAAAATACCTGTTACGTGCGCGATTCGAACTCGCGACTCTCAGCGCTGTGAAACATTGCTATGCCACTGCACTACGGAGCCATTAATCGTTACTCATATTAAGACATTATAAATAAACATTTGTTAAGTTTCACCATAGTAGGTTCAGCCATTCCTAAGTTTAGCGCAGACAGACATACCAAAATTTAATGAAATTGTAACTTAGTTCCTAATAGCATGCAAATAACCTTATGATAATGGAAGCCTGTTATTTTTTATATCATACAAACAAACAATTCAATTTTATTCATATGTATAGATATTATGTGGTAGAACTAAGCTGCAAGTTGTAGCACGAATGGGTCGGCTCGACCGGGGTAGGACCCCGCTCTCACAGAATATCGGCGTAAAATAGCAGATTATGCTGCTGTGTTTCGTATGGTGAGTGTAGAGAACTGGAGAAGTTTTTACTGGATATGAGGCACTCCATCTTCGTTTCACCAGGAGTGACAACGCTTCTGCATCCCTTAATCGGGTATAAATATCTATGGGACACCGGACACAGCATCCACCTACCATCTATCCATATGTGCTCGCTTGTCACACTTATTCTATAAAAAAAACCTAGATTTCAATTTCACTGCAAACAGCTAATGTAATGCAATTATTTCCAGCTGCTAAAAGGTCGCCACATGATGGTCCGAGTGGGCGGCGGCTGGGACACGCTGGAACACTTCCTGTCGCGCCACGAGCCGTGCCAGGTGCGCCTCGTGACGCAGGGCCGTCGCAACATTCTGCCAATCGCCACATCGCAATCGCCACCGCCAGATATTCCGCAATCGTTGCAATCACCACAACCACCGCTCTCCTCAGACGAGCTAGATGCTGCTAAACTCTCACCGATCCCACGCAAACCCACCATCTCCCCCGCCAGCAGTAAAACCTCAATTACAAGCAAAGAACTCCTCTCAGGCACCGTATCACCCGTAGACAGCAAAGCTTCATCTGTTAGCGGTAAATCTTCTCCAACAGATAAAGGAAGAGCCGGCAAAAGTGTTAAACCAGAGCTCGAAGTCCGAAGAACTTCCACACCTAATAAATCGCGAAACCTACGGTCCGCTTTGACTTTGCCGCTTAAAGCGGACTCTACGGTAGATCAAAAACCTCTCGCACAGCGCACTAGAAAACAATCGGCACCTTCTAGCTTTAGCACACCCAACACGCCGACTGGTAGATCGACACGAACGCCACCTGCAGAACTAAGAAAGTCTCTCACTTCCAACACTTTGCTTAACGCTCCAAAGAAATCTAGAAGTATGAGCTTGGGTGTCACACAGAAGGAGGAGAAAAAACCGTTCTGCGGGACGGAAAGATTGAACCAAGACAGAAAGAACCAAATTAGTAGAAGCAGTAGCAGCACGCCCACTAAAACTCTTACTGCTCGAAAGACACGTAGCCAGAGCTTGGCTTCCACTCCGATCAATGAGCCCAAGAAATCCTTTAGCGGAACGAATGGGTACTCAAAGAAAACAAGAAGCATGAGCCTGGCAACACCGGTAGACTTTAATAAACCTCTCATTAAAAGCGTTTCGCTGTCCACAAACGGGCCCATGACGCAGGCAGCCATAGAAGAAAGCATCAGACAGTCGTTAGCTGCGTCAATCGCTGACAACAGTTGCCCCAAAAAACCATTCTTACACATTAAAGCCAAATACAGAAGTCCACCACCGAGGGAAGTGCCTCCGAGATAATTTAACAGCTTCTTGACTCCCCATTCCATTAGTTTTATACTTTGACCTTAGGAAAACCAACACATGTCTCTATGGACGATTCCAGCGGTGTTTTGACGCTGAGGGGTGTTGTTTAAAGAGTTCAACTTAATTTCGTGAGCTACAATTAACGTATAAGCATTAATTAGATCTCCTAAGTAATCTCATTTGTTTAACCATTTAGCTATAAGTTCGAAATAAATCACGTTTATTCACTCGAAGGAGACTAGTCATAATGAGTTTGTTTTGTAATAATTAATATCTAATAGTTTTATCGATAATTAATTATAATATTGTAATTTAATTATCACCTTATATCTGCAATAATAATTCCGATTTAATTTTAATTTATAATTATTTTCATTTGTACCAATTTCATTATTGTTTTAATAATTAAATTTAAGTTTTGTTGAGATATTTTAAAGCGCCATAATTACGTACCGCGCTTTTTCGGATTTCGTAATAAAATATTTTGAGTTTATTTTACATTTTTTTATTTTTATTTACAATTTTATCTATGAGTTAATATAAACACATACAATGCACACATGTCTTCTACATTTAGCAAGCTTTACTCTAAATACTTAGCATTATTAAGCATTATAATGTACCTAGCATGTATTAACCGATTTAAACATTTATTACCTACCAAGGGTTGGTGCTCCACTAAATGGATGGCCGGTTCACATTTTTTTAGTGCTTTGAGAGAACTGGAGAGCAGATTAGTAACATTTGAATACAAGGTGCATGAAACAAACAGGTATTCCACTTGATTTTAGTAGAAAGGCGAGAATCGTAAGTACATAACAATAACGTCCTCCAGACCGAATTTCGGTCATCGCGGCACCCTAGCCGTCTGCGCAGGACAGGATTATAGTGCAGACACAGCTGATCTCTGTCATCACTCTGGAGGTCCGATGGGACGGCAAGTCGACACGACCGGAGAGAGATCATGACCAACAGCGTTGCGTGTTTCCAGCCGCGAGGATGTAACGTCGCCAACTTCCTGACTCCGGGCTGCTGCTGAGAATTTCTTAGCGGAAAAACAATAACTGATGTTGTCCCGATCCCCGATTCGAACTCAGGAACTCATGATCAGCAGTCGCGCTTAAGACCGCTAGACCGACGATAAATATAAATAATTTTGACTATTATTTGTCAATAAACCCATGTTGATAAATAATTGTCAAAATCATATATATTACAAGTCATAACCATAGGTAAAACATTTCTACTTATGTAAATCATTTTTTAAAGGATAACATAAAGTAAAAGTGCTATTAGCGAAAAACTAAAACAGACTAAACGCCATCGAGTAGTGTCAGTTGTAAAAGTGGGAACGACATTGATTTTAATTTTTTTTTTAAAAACGCTACAGGTATGGTGTTGATTAACACCACCCCCAGAGGCCCCAGACTAATTAGTGGATTCTACATTTCACCCGAACCATTTAATGTGTGTGAACCACAGAAATCGTAAATTACTATTTTTGTGGCAGAACCAACTGATCGAACAATCTGTGTAGTACGGCCTTAAGGAAAAAACAGTTCCAAATTTATTTATTAAAAATATGAAAGAAAACTAAACAATTATCACGAGTAAGACATATAAATGACGTCTCACTAACACAATCATAAGGGTACAAATACGTTTTAATACTACACATATATATTTTTGTAATGTGTCGTCACAAAGAAAGTATTTTTGCACTAGATATCATTGTAGGTATAGAAGCACGTCCAATACAGAACATTATTACTCTGTAAAGAGACCACCAATCACTAAACTAGTGATGTGCTGACTGCTGACTGACTGATCAAAAACACGCGTTAGAAAAATAAAATTTTACCTAATTTGTGATAGAGCCACGCCGCAGCTATATTATGGTTGTAGTACTAATCGATCGGTTCATCCCCTTGGACCTCTTGGACCCTTGGAGCATCACGTTCTTTCCCAGAAAGTTACTGCATTAAGGTAGGTACTGCTGTGTATCGTATGGTGTGTATAGAAAACCAGAGGCCCATTTTTACTGGTAACGAGAAAGTCCACCTCAGTCCTCAGGGTGGTACATCTGCATTTTGATTCTTAATCAAGGATAATGGGTAACAGCATCTACTTACCATCAGGTGGACTGTATGCTCGTTTGTTATTATATAAAATTATTCTATAAAAAGAGTGTATAAATTAATTCGCAGATATGATTCAACTCATAAGATACCAATTGTAAGAGTAAGCGTTTGACAATACATTCAATTTCGATATTTAACAGATATTAGTATCAAAAATACGCTTGGTATTTTGTTAGAAGTACCTACCTATTTGGACTTAATTATCGTGTCGTGTATTTTTGTTCTGTCAAGCGATTCTAATCATGTGTGAATGCGTGTGACATGTTCGCATATTAAATTATTATTATTTTTAAACGAACATCCGACATTTGAACTTTGATAGTATTGGATTTGAATCCGCTAGTTTTTGATTAGAGCTTTTCTAATACTGAAATAGACAACATAATAAAATCGACTCAGCACGTTTTAACTTAAAACTTAAAAGAGTAATAATGTTCTGTGCACTAAACCTCGTATGAAAGTGCCACAGCCACACCGACCGTCGCAGTCGTCAGTAGATACAAAATAATATTCCACAGATTAGATAAAAATCACTGACTCATGTAACATCAATAATAATTGTTAAATAGTAAGTGGCTTTAGTATAGTTAAGAATGTTAATTAGAAAGTAAATAATTTAGGAGTGAGCAAAGTATTGCAGGGATTTTAACGTATTTATAATGTTTTTACATTTAACGACAAATTTAGTCACTTGCACGCAATTTATACGATGTTGCTACCTTTTGTAATTTTTTCACATTTTCGAATTGCGTAAATTAATCATTATATATATTTTATCTTTATCATTATTGACAATGCTGCGACAGATAACCATTCCAATGATATTTTTATTCATTACGATAAGTATACAATCATATTATGTTCGTTTATGTTTACGAATTAAAAGTAGGAAGGACACTACAACAATTACTGCACTATTGTGCCAAAATTATACAAGTGTTTAAATTTGGTAATAAACTTTTTGACATTAGATTTTTTGGAGTATTTTTGTGTTTGTGCCCTCAGCCCTACTCTGTATAATAGCAAACTCTTTGTAATAACTTTAATTATTCTACGTAAGAAATTAAGTATTCGCTTCGATTAAATTATACTAGCATATCATAGCATACTAGCTATCTATGGTATAGACCATTGCACCCAAACACGAGTACACTGCTAAACACAAAAAATACTTTTTTTAAATATACTTGATGTATGCCTCGTCAACTCTTCACTCAGGTGTGTATGAAACCTTTCGTAAGTTCATAACCCAACGGTTTCCCAGTATAGGATATTATATGACATATCACAAGAGGTCGCTCGACAACTGATGCTGGTGTTGAGCTTATTAAATATATCTTTAATGCATGGGAGAATTCACAGGATGCTTTGGGTATATTCTGTGACCTATCCAAGGCCTTCGATTGTGTTCACCATGAAACATTAATGTTTGGTCATGAACAAACAGGAAACTTCAACACTACGGTGTAAGAAGTGATGCAATTAAATTAATTATTTCATATTTAAGTGACAGAATGCAAAAAGTTGTCATTAATAGTATGAGTTCTTCCGGGTCGACTGTACAAATGGGCGTGCCTCAGGGCTCGATCCTCGGCCCCTTTCCGTTTCTTGTATATATTAATGAATTACCTTACATAGTGGGGGATAACCATGATATAGTATTATTTACTGATGATACTTCATTAATTTTCAAACTAAAACGACAGTTATTAAATTACGACGAAGTAAATAATGCTATAGCTAAGGTAGTCAATTGGTTTAATGTTAATAATTTGCATTTAAATGGTACTAAAACTAAATGTATGAAATTCATAACTCCTAATGTCAAACATGTTAATACGAATGTAATTTTAAATGAGGAAGAACTGAGTCTTGTTGATACCATCATTTTTCTTGGAATCACACTAGACACAAAGCTTCAATGGCTACCCCATATATCAAAACTTGCTAGTAGACTTAGTTCTGCAGCATATGCAGTAAAAAAGATTAGAACTCTTACCAGTGTTGAAACAGCGAGAATAGTTTACTTGAGTTACTTCCACAGCATTATGTCGTATGGTATTTTGCTATGGGGACACGCGACTGATACTGAAATTATATTTATTTTACAGAAGAGACCCATTAGAGCAATATATAATTTAAAACCAAATCAGTCACTGAGACAAAAATTTAAGGAAATTAATATATTAACTCTGGCCTGTCAATACATTTATAAAAATGTAATGTACGTACACAAGAATGAACGTAGTTTTGCAAAAATAAGTGATATCCATTCTGTAAATATTAGGAACAGACACAAGCTAGTTGTACTACTTAGTTACTCGACCCCACCGAGTCAGTAATTCATTCTTGGGGTGATGTATACGCTTTTACAACAAAATTCCAGAAAATATACAAAATTTGTCATACGCAAAGTTCAAAAAAATTATTAAACTAAGTTTGTATAAAAAGGGTTATTATAATATTAAGGAATCTATGTATGATAATAACCCCTGGGAAGGGTGTTTTTAATCTCTTGTGTTGTTAATTGTAAACATCATTGTAAGCTATTATATGAAAAAAAATTAGTCCCGCTGGGTTTCTTGCTGGTTCTTCCCAGTGCAGAGGTTTTTTGCGAACCGGTAAATGGAAAAATTGACTTTCAATAAGTATTGTTTATAATCTACATTGAATAAAAAGTTTCTGTTTCTGACCTTTCAGCTTATTGTTTCGTTGGAGGGTGTAAGTCACTGGATAAAGACAAAATTCTCTTCAAATCAATCAATCAAAGCAAATCCACGCACGATGGTCAACTTTGGAGTCGGACTAACAACTGGGCCTTTAGGTTCTATATTCATTTTTGTGGGGCTGATA